GGGTAGGGGTGTATATCCTTGGATTTTAACTATAAGGTAATTTTTTTTAAAAAACGGCCACTAATTACTGAAGCCAAATGATTCTATCCTCCCTCCGTGTTCTCCCACTTACTAATAGTGACTTTCACCAAGTTAGAGGGAAAAGTTCAAATTTAATGTACCAAGAAATCACCAACTTAAAAAATCTCATGCATTTGTTATATGCGTAGGAAACAATTTCAGTTACAACATGAAGAGCACTTATCAAAAGCACCTAGAAGATGATGTTGGTTTATTAATTACATGGCAACTAATCACATTACTCATACTACTTCTTTGCTCTGGGATAGCGATCCCCTTAGCTTTGCCTCTCTCACTCCTTTTATCCTCAGGGCTCAAACTAAGTTCTCCCCTTGATAGCTCTTTTGCTATCATCCTGCTACAAGACACTAGAATTATTATGAAAGACTTGAATTACCCTAAAAGAAAACCCTTTATAGATGGGCTTACTTTTGGATTTCTTTTTTCTAGAAAACAATATATATTGCTTATCTTGAGAAAAGATAACTTTCTTGTTAGCTATCAAAAAAATAACTGTTCTCTAGACATTCACACACATCGCCAATGAAAACAAAGAAAAAAATCCTTACTTGGGATCAACAGTACTCATAAGCTTCAGCAACTGATCTGCGGCAAGAGACTGCAAAACAAACAAAAAGAACGGGGTGTGTGTGTGTGTGTGTGTATATATATATACACACACACGATCGGGGATACATAGAACAATAAATGATTGCTATTTTGTTTTCTCAGTATGTTGAAATATCCTGGGATAACCTGTTAAACCTGTAAGAAGTATCGTGCCACAGACACAATGCTGATCAAAAGAAATATAATGCAAGGTACATATCACATTAAATTTTTTAGTAGCTACATTAAAAAATTAAAAATACGTGACATTAGTGGCTACAGTATTGGATAGAGAAGCTTTAGCAAGTTATCTGAAGATTAAGAGGCTGAACATAATCTTATTAAGGATTTATTGAGAAAATATTTAACATTTTAAAGAAACATAGAAAATAAAACTCATGCCTATTTACTCTGGCTCCATGACACACTGATGATTTGTTGGCATACTGTGAACCTATTCTATTTTGAACTATTATAAAACAAGAAATTCTTTAGTGGACAAGGGCTATACTAATTCAGTGACCATTTAAATCTCTTTTTTAACAAGTCTACGTAAGAAAAATTATTACTACAACATAGCTGTTAACTCCTGCTCTTGAAATGCAAACTAATAGTTAATAAAACAAATTTCCTATAAAAATGAGGTCAAAAGTTAAAGGGTAATAAGTTGTACCTGAGAGTTCAAGTTTGCTCCCGGAAGCCCAAGTGCAGCAAGGGCAGGATCAAGAGTAGGAGCCCCCAAAGCAGCCAATGGAACAGCGCCAATCTGTGAAATTTCACATTTGTTTAAAACTGTTTCAGTTCCTTATACCAAGGGTTGATACTTATTTTCTGTAAAGGGTAACATGGTAACTAGTTGAAGTCTGTGGGCTATGTGGTCTCTGCTGCAACTACTGAACTGCACACGAATCTATATACCTACTGCCACTGTAGCTCAAAAGCAGTGATAGACAATACATAAACAAATGGTTGTGTTCCAATAAAAATGTATTAACAAAAACACAGGTCTGGTCCAAAGGCTACAGTTTGTCAATCCTTGCTCTATATATAATGGCCCCATTTTCATTCATCACAGAACATTTGCCCCCTAAAATCAGGATTTAGATATCAAATAGGAAATAACTTTAGTTACAGCATGAAGAGCACTTACCAAAACAAGATGTTGGCTATTAATTACATGAAAATACCAAATATTTCAGTATAGTCTTGTACCGTTTAGAAATATTTATTGTTTCTTAGCTCCAAAGCCACTATTCTTTGCCCTGCTGCTTTGTGATACCAGAGTCAGGACTTTTCTGAAGCATTTCTCCTTTGATAGCTGCTATGATATTAGACTTTGTCAAAAGGAGTGCTGGAAGGACACGGACTAAGGGGCTTCTCTTCCTGGTTCCTGTGTCCCCTTCCTGATTATTCCCATAACACTATGTGATACACACAGTGGTTTTCACCTCTCAGTGAGCTTCAGTGCCGTCTCCTCAGGTAGCTTCCTAACAAGTTCTGAGGGCACCCAAGACAACCTCTTCACTATCCACCCCTTCAAAAAAGGTCTAAATCTTAGCATAGATGGGAAAGGGGAGTCTCCTGATCTGTATTTGTGCTCCTTCTGTTTCAGCTTAGAGTCAGTGGTTGTTTCTCACACCTGGGATTCCTGCATTCATTAGAATTCCCCTAGTGATCTATATTGCTAGTAACTCTGATTAATCCATAATTTAACTGACACAAACCACGTAAAATTCTTTACATGGTTTAGAGCTTTAGAGGCAGTTTGAATTTTTCTACAAGCACTGTGCTGAAAGTTCTCCAGTTAATTAATGTTGAGTAATACTAAGTACCAAACTTTCTGTAAAGAATAGGCAGTGTTAATACTACTTTAATTTGCTATCTAACATAGTTATCACATACTTCCATACATCAAAGGGATCTCTAGAAATTAGCCAGACCCTCATTTCATTAGCAAAAAAACTAGGGGTTAAGACTTAATCAAAACCATACCCCAAAAGCCTGGGAGCTCCTGATCTTTCCATGATATTATACTCTACAGTTCACTTCATAGTTAAGAGAACCAATTATTTACACAAGCAAAATGATATAATAAAAAGAATGCTTTTATAAATTTGTAGTTGAGGCTCATCATTCACTATTATCGGTGTAATTGCTGACCAACTGCAATCCCTCTGAACAGTTAGCATACATGGTATTTAAAGTGCCTTTTAGTTGTAAAATGATATGCTTCTTACAGCATTATCAGTGTTAGAAACATTACTCTAAGCAACTTTATTTCATCTTTCCCACATCGGACAGCCCCACCAAGAATACATCTTTGGCCAGGTGTGGTGGCTCACGCCTGTAACCCTAGCACTTCGGGAGGCTGAAGTGGAAAGACTGCTTTAGGACAAGAGTTCAAGACCTGCTTAAGCAACATAGTGAGACCCAGTCTCCACAGAAAATTAAAAAAAAAATTAGCTGGATGTGGAGGTGTGTACCTATGGTCCCAGCTATTCAGAAGGCTGAGGCAAGAGGATTGCTTGAGCCCTGGCTGAGTTGGAGTTTGCAGTGAGCTATGACAGGGCCACTGCACTCCAGCCTGAGCAACAAAGCGAGACTCTATCTCAAAACACAAAACAAAAAAAGAGCCCATCTATTGCCACCTACCATCACCACACACAAAAAAAGAATCCATCTTTATTTTCAAGCCATCTCCTTAATTCAAATCCCCCGAATAACAGCCAAAGAGCAAAGAAAAGAAAGAAAAAATAAAAATGAAGGGTTAACTTGAGAAGTCTCAACTTCAGCTTTATTTTCTTTCATGGTGCAAATGAATATATTTTTAACAGTGTGTTCACAGAAGTGTTATTATGTCTCATGAGATTTTTCCACAATTACTTATGGGTTACTCTGAGAGCCCCAATGACAAAAGTGACATAACAGATATTTTATGATTTTCAGAATGTTTTTAAAATGCAAACTTCTAAGAGACTCTGGGCAGTATTTCTGATTATAATACAGCCTTTTACAATACTTTGCACACTCGATATTGCTCTAAGAACTAGAATCTTACCAACACTTACAAAGCTCAAACATATTTAGCTTTATTCACAAGTCTGTGTTCCTTTCCATGCTCTAAGAATTCAACAGAACTAATACCTGAGTAAGTGGGTTAGGAGTAGGCAGGAGTCCACCACCAGGCAGAAGACCTGCCACTGCATTAGCTGGTGCCAACAGAGACAAAGCCTTAGTCTCATCAGGAATAACTCCTGCAGAGAAACATCCTTGCATTAGAATACATTCTTTTGTAAAACAGAAAACACACAAAAACACCCAGAAAATGTCTCCCTGATACACCACCTGAGTTTGTTGAAAGTACTTATGTTCGCTAAAATATAAAGCTTGATTTCTATGATTATTTATCATTAATTTTATGTCAGAATGAAACTTCAATGTGTGAAAATTTGTTTCCTTTTTCTCTACAAATGGTTAAGTCTAGAGTAAAAAAAAATAGCACAATACACACTACTTTTTTGTTAACACTGCCAAGATTTCATCACCTGTACTCGATTTTTAAGTCATGAACCAAACGTAAGCAAGCACAGTCGGTTCTCCAGGGGTGTGCTCTCAACTTTCAAAAGCTGTTTTATGAACAACGACTCGTGTCGGCTGCTTCACTATAAAGCACACAGAAAAATCAAGATACACAAGACAAAAAAAGTTTGATTTAGGGGTTAATAATATGGTACAGTTACTATGATTTTCTTTTACACCTACCATACAAATTTTGTAAAAATTAAGAGAAGAAAAGTATGTAAAGGAAATATTCTGTTGGACTCAAGCGTAGGGCTTTTGCTGACTCATGAAAATGAATATGAATGTTTCTGAAGGTCTCTGAATACACACGGGATGTGTGTGTGGGAGTGAGTGAGAAAGAAAGAGAGAGAATAGGTAAAACAACATGGCACATTCCTTACCTGTACAGTAAAATGCTTTATGTTCCAACATGTGCCATGCTAACCATACCAAAAAATGTTGCTATATAGTGTCAGTTCAAAAGCTAACTTAGTCAAACTCCTTAAGCCAAAAATTACATGTATGTCTGTTTTTAAAGCCTAATCTGTGTATTCAGATATAGTCTAAGGGTCCTAAGACAAATATTTATGTAGACAATTTAAATTCTATCCAACAGCAAAAGCCCTATACAGATGGATTAATCTGTTAATGTGCCCAAGCCCCCAAAATGAGAGTTCAATAATACAATTAAACTACATATTTGCAAATACCAGTAGTATTTCTGTAATACATATTAAGAAACTGCATCTCATCATAAAACATACAATATGTACAGGGCACTTAAGAGAAACTGGATAAGCTGCAGAAGAAAACTGTTGGGTGGTATTTTCAGCAGGGCCTGGTATATAGTTCAGGCTGAACCAGGGAAAAGAACTGTAAAACACAACAACAAAAAAGAAAAACCACTGTTAAATAAAGGTAATGGTTCCTTCCACCTATACTGAGAAGTGCCGATAATATAAACAAATGTATACTACACAGCACTGTTATCTTGCTTGTGTCAGAGCTGTCATCAATTTAGATACCAAGAGTTATGGAGGGGAAGGGGGAGAAGATCATTTAGATATAGGGCATTAATGCATCAATATCAACAAACCTACAAAGATTATGGGATAATTTTGCATGCAAAATTATGTCTCAAGAGGATATATTAAGTATCAACATCTTACTCAAATTAGTGCATTTGCAACATTTCTGGTAAACTAAAATCCTCTTGCATTTATTGTGAGACACCTGATAGAAGATCTGCATTCATTAAAAAAAAAGTCATGCATCTGATCCTCTGATTAAAAAAAGACTATTTAAAAATAAAACTACAATTTAAAAATAGCAATGAGGCCCCTCACCAGTTAATTTTCATGCGTCAAGAGTATTTTTTTTACTGCTGCTTTGATAGAACCATGAAATACTGCATGAATGTGTAGAAATGAAAGAAAAAGAAACAGACAAAAGAAACAAACATTAACCAAGGAACCTAAATAACCCCCAAATCCATTACTATTAAGAGTTCCTTCCAAATCCAGCTATCTTAGTTTTACCAATTAAGACTATTCCTTACCGTAGACTTTTTGTCTATTGTTCTATAACACTGACCAAGAGCGAACACCAAAGTGTAAGAGCTAAATCCAGAGTTAAAGGTGACAAAGGGATTGAATATATCAAGTTATTTAGTGGAGGTAACATTAATACAGCATATCATACCAGAATTAAATTCATCAAGAATAGATTTCTAAACTAAATATTTCCCTAATGCTATACACCATACACTCCTAAATATTTCGCTTTCAAAAACAGGTCTAGAAAAATTAGTATGGTCTAAAAACATTTATGAAAGCCAGTTATATGATATACTGTATTATGTTTAGGGTTTGGGAACTCTAATACTTAGCCAATAAAAATTCTTCAAATTTAAAGACTTAACTAAAATGTTTTTCACATTACTCACATGATTTGACCCTTATTCCAAGACCTATCATCTGTATTTTATTCATCCTTAATTTGAATTCTGTAAATTTTCTGTTGATGATAGTCTTACCCTACAACAGGCACACTAACATAAAAGAAATTACTTAACCAAAACCCACTAACTCAAAATTTATCTATCTATTTTAAAACCTTAAAACCAGGCTCATACACTTTAGTACCATGGAGATAGATGTACTATTATTACACAGCATGCCTTATCCCATCTATAAACGTAAGTTAATTTCTTTAGAAAAACAGAGGCAATTTCTCTAAGTTTTAAGGATTAGACATTTCACAACTTTTACAAGGTATGGTGTAAATGTTCACATTTGTACTCAAAGATCTAAGATAGCATCTAAAATCAACAATATCAAGATTCTGCTTCCACTGACCAGTTTTTATTAAGGAAAGGGGAAAGCGATTAAATTCTGGTCAGCATATTTATTAAATTATTAACTTATAATCCAGTAATTTTATATTTCAGTGATTTCTTTGATAAAAATTTACAGTTACCAAAAAACAAATCAAGTAGCAGTACACTGGGAACAAACTAATTATAAAATATGCCTTAGAAAATTTTACAAAACGGCATTAAAATAGTGCTGTCTTGTCACAGTGGCTTTTTTAGATCCAAAAAACCTGCTCAAATTTTCTGTCAAATTACTTTAACAGCCTAAAATGTAAAAAGAGAGAAAATGTAGTTAACAAATGGTTACACCAGGAAAACACTTGGGGGACTTGAGTGCTTGCTGGCCTTTAGTTAATGTCTAGAATCCCCTGTAGCTGCAGAGGACCCACTGTTTTTCAGTCATCTGGAAGGGTTTTGCATTTGCCTTCTCCACTACAAAAATCACACACACAAATAACAGAGAGAAGAATTTATTATTTAGAGATATTCTAGAAAATATAGCAAAAATGAACAAGAAAATCTGGCATAAAAACAAAACACCCAGTGCCCATCTGGCACCTAAGCTACAGGAAATCTTGAACTTTCACAAAAACCAAAATCATTGCAACCCTTGCTATACTGGAATTCAGCGTGGGTTTTTTTCCAAGGTATCAATATAAGGAAGGATTAAGGAAATAAAACTAACCTAGTCATTTATTTAAAACAAAAAATAACATCATGCATTTGAAGGTTGCTGTTTAAGTGTACATGAAGTGAACCATTCATCTTCAGGACTTTTTCATAAAACGCAACATTAAATTAACTAAGTAGATGTATCTTGGGGAGTTACAATTAGGGACATACTTTTAATGAACTTAAAAATGTTTTAAGAGAAAGCAAAAAAGTTAAATGCTTTATAAAAACAGACCTGATTTCTAATTTTTAGAATTAAAACAAATCTGCAAGTAAAAATCATGGGCTGCAGTATAACAAGGGTTTCAAAATGTTAATAGCTTAGATTTTAACATGCTACTAATGCTCACTCTACAACTATACTGAGGTAGATGGTCATCTTAGGATGCCCACATAGGTAGTTAAACAAAGCACAAACCTTCTGCATATGGTACGACTATCAAAGCTCTGTCAACGAATACAGTGTTTGTCAGATGCTGTGCCACAACTGCCGAGTCCGGATCATGGAACTTAACAAAGCAGACACGAGATGAGACCGGCAAAGGTGAATCACTAAAAAAAAAGTAAATAAATAACATAAAAGAAGGAAAAAAAATAATATCAGCTAAAACACAAATCAGCATTTGCATTCCAAAAGTAAAACAGGCAGATGGAAATACATAATATATGTAAAAACATAGTTAACCAGGTTAAAAGAAAACATCCCCAATAATGTACTGGTCACTGAAATAATGTAGCAAGCTGCAGTGGAGATAAAAACCTATAATCACTTTAAATTTACAGTGAAAACGAAATCTCAGAGTTTGAGGAGACAACAGAAGTGTTAACATTTTATTCATAATACCAATACCAGCTATTTTAAAATACAGGTAATAGGTAGTTTTGCTTTAGGAACTTTCCATTACGGTTAATTTCTCAAAGTAAAAAGACCAAGAATTTTCCACTTCAGGAACAAAAGTATGTATCATGGGAAAGAAGTACATTTATTTGATAATTAATGAATTTTCTTAAACTGCATAATAAACTGGTTCCATACCCTGTCTTCTCTTATCTACAGCATGTAAGAACTCCTATGCACTGTAAATAATTCAGGCTTTCTGGTTTGGAACACGAACATTTTCAGAGAAAAGAAAAATTTTAAGCACACATGGGAACAACATTCCACCACCCTAATGCTACTGTGTAAAAATTTCAACAAGCAAAAAAGCCACTTCCCTCAGCAAATTGCTTCCTTAGGTAAAAGAAAGGCAAATAAGATAGACAACATAGGGAGCAGGTTGTTTTTTTTTTTTTTTAAAGTATACAGTGGTTCAAATTTCTTCCATGAAGCTCTCTGTGAAAGGAGGTGGAGATTACTCCGCAACTTCACAGCAAAGTTATTTGGAAAGCCAATGCCCTAGAGCAGAAGTGATCACATCGTTGCTGGTTACATATTAGAATCATCTGTGGCGGGAAAATATCCAGACTCTCCACTCCACATCAATTGATCTCTAATGAAGTACTGAGCTTCTCCTCTTCCTACTATAATTCTCCCTGACAATTTTAATATGCATCCTGGGTAGAGAACCACCACTTTATTATAATAAGCCAATTACATCATAGGACTCAATAATGAAAAGGGAAATTCTGCAATATATTTTAATACTATTTGAAGGGGGCTTCACTGTTAACTTTTCTAATAAAGGAGACATGCTCATGTGTACACAAAAATGTAATTCCATCAGATTTGGCTATACTAGGTATTTCAGATACATTGCCGAAAAGAAAAAATTTTCTTTTAATTTGAGTGCTAACAAGAAAAAATTTTTATCATAACTTGATGACTAACATGAGGCTACACATGGCCTGAGAACTCAAGCCCATTAGAACATTTAATACAAGTTTCCCAAAGAACATCTCCCATGTTAAGCACAGATCCTGATCTAGGTTCAAAGCAAAATTGACAATATATACACAAGGACTTTTTGCCATCTTGTTATAGAGGCTCACTGTTAAGTGTTTTTGAAAGGATTCAGTGTTTTTTTTTTTTTTTAATGGTGAAGCACCGCGGGTCTAAAATTTAACAATGTTGTACTTAAAGCAGTGAAAAGGTGACTTTAGCAGTTTTTTCTTTTTTAAAGAGATGGGGGTCTCCTTATGTTGCCCGGGCTCCCAACCCAGCTTTCCAGTAGCTGGGACTATAGCCAACATTTGTGCAACTCTATTAAGCTTTGGCACTTCACATTTCTTTTTTGACATCCATGTTTTTTACCGCTAAAATTAAAAAGCTTTTCTAATGCCACTATCATCTCATGTCTCTAACACCCAACACAGTATTAGCCTTGGGAAATAGTAGTAGTACATTTCTCAAAAGGTGACCTCTCTCAATTCTTTAACACTAGTCTTATCTCATTAAAAGAAATAACTCTCAAATATAAAATTCTTAAAGAATATAATGAAGAATTCTTCAGAAAAAAAAATTAGAAAGTACTGCCCTACAAAGGATCTGAAAACACATTTCTCAAAAGGCATACAATGGCTAACAGGCGTATGAAAAAATATTCAGAATCATTAGCCACCAGAGAAATGCAAATCAAAACTACAATGAGATATCATCTCACACCAATTAAAATGGCTTTTATCAAAAAGAAAGGCAATAAGAAATGTTGGCAAGAATGTGAAGAAAGGAGAACCCTCCTAATCTGTTGATGGGAATGTAAATTAGCGCAACCCACCATGGACAACAGTGTGGAGGTTCCTCAAAAAACTGAAAATAGAGTAATCATACGACCCAGCAATCTCACTCCTGGGTATATATCCAAAGGATGGGAATTCAGTATATTGAAAAGGTATCTGCACTTCCATGTTTACTGTAGCATTATTCACAATAGCCAAGATACGGAATCAACCTAAGTGTCCATCAATGGATGAATGGATAAAGAAATTGCGGTACACGGACACAATGGAATATTCTATAGCCACAAAAAAGAATGAAATCCTGCCATTTGAAACAACATGGATGGAACTGCAGAACATTAAGTGAAATAAGCAAAGCACAGAAAGACAAATCTCACATGTTCTCACTCATATGTGGGAGCTAAATATCAAAATCAATTGATCTGAAGGAAACAGAGAGTAGAATAACGGTGACCAGAGGATGGGAAAGGTAGTGGAGAGGGAGGGATGAAGTGGTGATGGTTAATGGGTGCAAAAACACAGTTACAATGAACAATACTCAATAGCACAACAAAATGACTATAATTAGCAATAAGTTAGGGTAGACTTTAAAATAACTAGAAGAATGGAGCTATCTATGTTCCTAACATAAATGTTAAATGTCTAAAGTGATGGACACCTCAATTACCGTGATTTAATTCACATCGTATGCCTGTATCAAAACATCACATGTACCGTATAAAGATACAACTATTAGGTACCCATAACTAAAATTAAAAATAATCACTGCCCTAGTGCTCACAATATATTTCCCCTTACTTGGTAATCTTAAAATGATTCACATTTATTTCTACCCACTAATGTCATAGGAATGCTACTATTTTGGCTATATCAAAACCTGTATGTGGTGGTGGGGAAAAGACCAAACATGAATAATTTGAATTCTGTGAAACAGACAGGAACTCAGAAGGGAAACTAATATAATTTATCCCCATTCGAAAGGTCTGCTTTAAAAATAGGTTTAAAACAAGTTTTTGTTGCCATTAGGGCCCACATTTATACTCTTGTATTTTCTCAGTTAAAACTTATTTTAAAAAGACATCTTAATATTAGAGGACACATGCTTTAAACTAATTTTCATATCCTAAAATTTTGTGCAGGTATCACTTTTAAAAATGTAAATGTTGTTTACTCCCTATCTTTAAGAATTAGTACAGATGAGGGAGAATTGAGGAGCAAGACAGAGAAAAGTGAGCCCTGACACTTTTTGCCCTCCGCATGAGTGATAGTATTGTTTCCAATGGTTCTTAAAGTGTCCTCTGAAAGCTGTTTCAGAATCTGCTAAGATGCACATAGAAAATTCAGATTTCTGTTGTTCATCTAGAGCCCAGAGAATCCTCCCTTTTATATGAGGGTCCAGATTCTTAACAAGATCCCCATTGATATTCATGCTCACTAAAGTATGAGAAGTGGTTGAGGCCACTGATAATCAGCTTTTCAATTCCCACTAAATACTATGCCAATCTTATGAGTGGAGAGTTACAAGCTTTAAACAAAGGCATCTTCAATGTCCAAAAAAGGGACTGTGCTACGGTGGCATTCACCTGAAAATCTGACTGTGGACCTCACACATTCTCTCCCTCATTATGTAAACATACAGTAAAACGTTTCTTTTATTAAAACATTTTTTTCTTTAAAGGTGAACTAAATTCTTTCCTTTATCTAAGTTATTTATACTTATATGACCATTAAAGTATCCATTTTGGGTCACTGAAAAGTTACTAATGAACTTAAATTTATCTACAGATCACAGTAGTCTTCAGTTATAACTTTGACAAGCTTCACTGGGATCATTACCTGATATGCACTCCAGTTATAATCTCCACTGTGAAATCACACTAAAACCAAACATGTGAATACCTAAGTGTAAAAAATAACTCACGAATTTCTTGGCTAAATCAACCACCTCCTGATCGAGTGGTAAAGGAGAGTTATAGCACTGGGGTTCAAGTACTAGTTCACACACTAGCAGTGTGGTTTGGGCATGCAAAACAATCTATGTGAATTTTAGTTCACTCATTTTGTAAAACAGGGAAAAAAAGATCCTTCCTCTGGGTTTGTAAGGACTGATTACGAAATTTAAAAAGCATCTAACTCACAACAGACATGCAAATAATGCTGAATTTCCAATATGCACTTTAGGAACAGAAAAAAATTACCATTTTTCTTTTTAAAAGAGAATAAATATGTGGGACACTGATAGATGCTTTGAAATAGCTGCAGGGCTGTCATTCTGAAGAGCAGGTTAAAATATTCCCTATTGTGAAGACAGCATTTCTATCTCTGGGTGAATATAGGCCGGTAGTTTTTTGCTTAAAAGAATCAAGAAATAGACGGATTCAACAATAAAACGATGCAGGAAACCTTACTGAGCAGGTTGTCACTGAAATGTGTGGTATAATTCCAGAAAGTTTTCCCCCAAATAAGCATGTAGAACTGAAATTAAGAGTTTCAGTAGGTATGGGTGGGGTTCAATCATAAATGTACTTAAAAAATGTCCTTTAGGAGATGTTGATGAACTCAAGAACCTCACAATCTACAAGAGAGAAGCTAACTTAACCTGTCAATTGGTCACGGGTGAAAAACGAAATAGTGTTAAGTAAGAGAAAGAGAAAACGAAGAGAAAAATGAAATAGTGTTAAATAGAGAAGACAAGGAGCATAATGATTTTTATTATATAAAAAATAAGACAGTGCCATATTTTTGTATAGGATGGTCAGGGAAGGCTTCTCTGATTAAGGAGACATTTGAGAAAGAAAAGAAGCAAGCATGTCATGGGCATTATCTAGGGGAATAAGTTCCAGGCAGCTATGATTGCCTTCTTGGAGGAAATTATACATAGTTGTCCCTCAGTATTCATGGGGGATTGGTTCCAGGGCTCCCCCCAGGTAACAAAATACACAGATGCTCAAAACCCATTGGTATATGACCTATGCACATCCTCCTGGCATACTTTAAATCATCTCCACATTACTTACAATACCTAATACAACATAAATGCTATGGAAATAGTTATACTGTATTGTTTAGGCAAAAATGACAAGAAAAAAAGTCTGTTGTATGTTCAGTAGAGACGCTCCCCCACCTCCCATATTTTTCATCTAGTCGGTAGATGCAAAACCCCCAAGATGCAGAGGGCTGATTGTATATACAGTAATCACAAAAAATCGAGTGACAAATTTGTTCACAAAAGATAGAATTTTATATAACCTGAGCCATTCAATCTTATTCTATGAGTAGAAAAGTATTTTTGGAAGGATGAACCCTTCTGGACCACTGAGTTCACAGTACATATCCCTGGCAATATTTCAACATTTTACTGTTG